TGGGTCAGAAGCAGCAGAAACTTAGATAAGGGTAATTACAGTGGAATGAGGGCACAGCTAACTAAGATCGATTCAGGAGTGTGATGGAATACTCTCCACTTTCCTGGATGGGTGCAGCTACAGTAACAGTCAGGAAGCTTGGCACCATCCAGGACAGAGCAGCTCACTTAATTATTACCACATCCATAGTCATCCACTCCCTCCACTACCAATGCTCAATAGCAGCAATGTACTATCCACAAGATGTACAGCAGCAATTCATCAAGACTTCTCAAACAGTATATTCCAAATCCATGACCACTTCCACCTAGAAGGACAAGGGTAGCAGGTACATGGGAACAACACCATCAGCAAGTTACCTCAAGCTACTCACCATTCTGTCTTGAAATTATATCATCATTCCTACAATGTCACTGGGCTGGGTCAAAATCCTGGAATTCCCTCCCTGAAGGCATTGTGTGTCATCCTACAGCACGTGGATTGCAGCAGTTCAAGAGGCAGCTCACCAGTACCTTCTTAAGGAGCAACTAAGGATGGGCAATAAATGTTGGCCCAACCAGCGGCGCCCACATCTCGAGGATGAATGAAAAATAAGAAAGCTACAGAACAGAGGGATTAGGGAGCCCTCGTGTATGAATCACAAAAGGTTGACATACAAATTCAGTAGCTAATAGAGAAGGAAATTGGGATGTTGGCCTTTATTTCAAAGGGAATAGGGGATAATAATAGGAGTATCTCTTTAAAATTATAGAAGACATTGGTTAGGCCACACCTGAAATACTGTGAACATATTTAGGCCTCTTCTCTAAGGAAAGATTGCTGGCATTAGATGTAGCCTGGAGAATGGTCACTCAGCTGATCACTGATATAAAGGGACTTGTATTACGAGACAAGGTTGACTAGTTTTGGTTGTATTCATTGGGAGTTTAGAAGAATTAGAGATTATGTTATTGAAACATGCATGATTCATAGGGGACTTGAGAGAGTAGATGCACAAAGGTTGTTTCTCCTTGTAGAAGATAGTGATCACAATTCCGTAAGTTTTAGAATACTCATGGACAAAGACAAGGGTGGTCCTAAAGGAAGAGTGCTAAATTGGGGGAAGGCCAACTATAGCAAGATTCGACAGGAGCTGGGGAATGTGGATTGGGAGCAGCTGTTTGAGGGTAAATCCACACTTGATATGTGGGAGGCTTTTAAAGAGAGGTTGCTTAGAGTGCAGGACAGACATGTCCCTGTGAAAATGAGAGAAAGGGCAAGATTAGGGAGCCATGGATGACAGGTGAAATTGTGAGACGAGCAGAGAGGAAAAAGGAAGCATACATAAGATCTAGGAGACTGAAAACAGACGAAGCTTTGGAAGAATATCGGGAAAGTAGGACCAATCTGAAATGAGGAATTAAGGGGGCTAAAAGGGGTCATGAAATATCTTTAGCAAGCAGGGTTAAGGAAAATCCCAAAGCCATTTATTCGTACATAAGGAGCAAGAGGGTAACTAGAGAAAGGGTTGGCCCACTCAAGGACAAAGGAAGGATGTTATGTGAGGAGTCAGAGAAAATGAGTGAGATTCTTAATGAGTATTTTGTGTCGGTATTCACCGAGGAGAGGGACATGACGGATGTTGAGGTTAGGGATAGATGTTTGATTACTCTAGGTCAAGTCGGCTTAAGGAGGGGGCAAGTGTTGGGTATTCTAAAAGGCATTAGGGTGGACAAGTCCCCAGGTCCGGATGGGACCTATCCCAGGTTACTGAGGGAAGCGAGAGAGGAAATAGCTGGGGCCTTAACAGATATCTTTGCAGCATCCTTGAGCACGAGTGAGGTCCCAGAGGACTGGAGAATTGCTAATGTTGTCCCCTTGTTTAAGGAGGGTAGCTAGGATAATCCAGGTAATTATAGATCGGTGAGCCTGATGTCAGTGGTGGGGAAGCTGCTGGAGAAGACACTGAGGGACAAGATCTATTTACATTTGGAAGAAAATGGGCTTATTAGTGATAGGCAGCATGGTTTTGTGCAGGGAAGGTCATGTCTTACCAATTTGATAGAATTCTTTGAGGAAGTGACAAAGTTGATAGATGAGGGAAGGGCTGTAGATGTCATATACGTGGACTTCAGTAAGGCATTTGATAAGGTTCCCCATGGTAGGCTGATGAAGAAAGTGAAGTTGCATGGGGTCCAGGTTGTACTTGCTAGATGGATAGAGAACTGGCTGGGCAACAGGAGACAGAGTTGTAGTGGAAGGGAGTTTCTCAAAATGGAGAACTGTGACCAGTGGTGTTCCACAGGGATCCGTGTTGGGACCACTGTTGTTTGTGATATACATAAATGATCTGGAGGAAGGTTATAGCTGGTCTGATTAGCAAGTTTGCAGATGACACTAAGATTGGTGGATAGTGAAGGGGACTGTCGGAGAATGCAGCAGAATACAGATAGATTGGAGAGTTGGGCGGAGAAATGGCAGATGGAGTTCAATCCAGGCAAATGCGAGGTGATACATTTTGGAAGATCCAATTCAAGAGCGAACTATACGGTAAATGGAAAAGCCCTGGGGAAAATTGATACACAGAGAGATCTGGGTGTTCAGGTCCACTGTACCCTGTAGGTGGCAACGCAGGTCGAAAGAGTGGTCAAGAAGGCATAGGGCATGCTTTCATTCATCGGACAGGGTATTGAGTACAAGAGTTGGCAGGTCATGTTACAGTTGTATAGGACTTTGGTTCGACCACATTTGGAATACTGCGTACAGTTCTGGTCACCACATTACCAAAAGGATGTGGATGCTTTGGAGAGGGTGCAGAGGAGGTTCACCAGGATGTTGCCTGGTATGGAGGGCGCTAGCTATGAAGAGAGGTTGAGTAGATTAGGATTATTTACATTAGAAAGACGGAGATTGAGGGGGGACCTGATTGAGGTCTACAAAATCATGAGAGGTACAGACAGGATGGATAGCAAGAAGCTTTTTCCCCCAGGAGTGGGGGAATCAATTACTAGGGGTCATGATTTCAAGGTGAGAGAGGAAAAGTTTAAGGGAGATATGCGTGGAAAGTTCTTTACGCAGAGGGTGGTGGGTGCCTGGAATGCGTTGCCAGCAGAGGTGGTAGAGGCGTGCACGATGGCGTCATTTAAGATGTATCTAGACAGATGCATGAATGGGCAGGGAGCAGAGGGATACAGATCCTTGGAAAACAGGTGACAGGTTTAGAGAGAGGATCTGGATTGGCGCAGGCTTGGAGGGCCGAAGGGCCTGTTCCTGTGCTGTAATTTTCTTTGTTCTTTTTTCTTCTTTGTGGCTCGTCCAGGAGCAGAGGGGATAATCCCACAGTAACGGGTGGCCCATTTAAGAAAAGATGAGGAAGAATTTTTTACCTCAGTGGTTGGTAAATCTGTGGAATTCTTTATTGCAAGCAGTTGTTGAAGCTCGGAGTAGGTATATTCAAGGCTGAGAAACGTGGCTTTTTAATAAGTTAGCAAATCAAGGGTTTTTTGGGTAAAGGCAGAAGAGTGAGTTGACGATTATCAGTTTTGCCATGATCTCAGTTGCAGCAGTTGATGGGCTGAATGGCCTGCTTCTCATAATTCTCATAATTGCTTTACAGAATCAGAATATTAACTCTGTTACTCTCTCCACATATATCCTTGGACAGCTTGAGTATTTTCAGAATTTGTTTTTTGAGATTATCACCGAATGCAGGACTTCTCTTTTATGAAATAAATATACTAACAGCAGTAGGTATGATCCAATTCCTTGACTAGGCATGACTGGCATTGTGTAAAGCTCAAAAGCAAATTTGCCTTCATCGTAGTATTTTCCCAATAATGGTGAGCACAGCAAGTTCTCTTGTTAAAGATTGTAATTTAGGTTTATTAAAAATAGCCTATAGCCCATGCAATTAGTGTCCAGGGATGTGCTGATTAGGTGAATTAAATGTGGGGTTACAGGGATAGGGTGAGGGTGCTCGGTCGAGGAGGGCTGCCCTTTGGAGGGTCAGTATGGACTTGATGGGCCGAATGGCCTCTTTACAAACTGTTGGGTTTCTATGATATTCTGTGATTCCTAATGTGTCTTGTGTGTTTAGCAAACATGTACTAAAAGACATTTCCTTGTCTCATTGTCTACTGATGCTTCACCCTGAGCTATGTTTCTTGATAGCTTTTGTAAGTGGTTATTTGCCATTGCCTTCCACTGTCAGGGACAGAGGAGGAGACAGGTCCCAAGTCTAACTCAGTCAGAATAGAAAGTGAACCTGTGCTGTAGGCATTATTTTAAACCACACACTAGCCCACTTAACCATCTGGTCCTCATGTAATGTGTATACTTGGCTTAGTATTGCAAAAACCGTTGTAACGAGGAAAACAACCTCACTGTTAACACTAAACAAAAAAACCCAAGAACTGCGGATGCTGGAAATCAGAACCAAAAAGAGAAATTACAGTTAAAAACTCAGCTGCTGTCGCAGTTTGTGTGGAGTGAGAGTTAACATTTTGGGTCCAATGATCCTTCTGAATACTCACTGCTAACACACTTTTAGCAACAGTACAGCATGTCAAGGGGTCCTTTTATAAGATCTTTTTCCCCTCATAGTAACTGAGATTTGAATAACTATATTGACCATCTGCTCATTATCCAGGGTTCAGTCTACTCAAGTTATGATTAGAATCCCGCCACAGCAGATGGTGCAATTTGAATTCAATAAAATATCTGGAATTAAGAATCTAATGATCTAATGCCGATTGGCGAAAAAACCCACCTGGTTCACTAACGTCCTTTAGGGAAGGAAACTGCCATCCTTACTTGGTCTGGCCTACATGTGAATGACAGACCCACAGCAATGTGGTTGACTCTGAACTGCCCTCTGGGCAATTAGGGATGGTCAATAAATGCTGCCTAGCCAGTGACGTCCTCATCCCATTAATAATGGGACATTAATAAAGAAAAAAATAAAAAATTTCTAGTATGTAGGATTATCTATGATGATTTTCCCTTCTGTTGTTGCTTTGCAGATCCTGTTCAAGCGTTAGATCTAGGACAACAACTCCAGCTCAAAGTCCAACGTATGCATGACATTGAAACAGAGAATCAAAAGCTGCGGGAAACGCTTGAGGAGTATAACAAAGAGTTTGCAGAAGTCAAGAATCAGGGTAAGGATTAGGCACTTCCACTTCTATTACATTGTAAATGCTGATTGTTTGTTTCAAAGCTATATGATGATATTACTACCACCATGACCTGTGATGTTCTATTTGAGCAGTCTGGTTCGAATCTAAGAGAATAGAGTCTCCACAGTGAGTTTATTGTCCATACCTGTGTAACAGCTCTCTCGCCAAGTTCCATTTGTTACCCCCTCCCCTCTCCCCTATATAGGTATCTTCTAATCAACATTCAGAGATGTTATTATGCATCTTGGAGCAGGTCGGATTTGAACCCAGGCCTCCTGGGTTAGATATAGCCATGCTACCATGGCACAACGTTAGCCCTACCCTCCATCTTGTATATCTAGGCATCAATTAGTAGACATCACTTATAATAGTAACCTTTTCTCTGCGATGCCTTTTGTTGACTAAACATTCTCTTTGGGACAGTGTGATTATCCACATAATATTCTATGGGCAATTTTTTTCTTAGATTTTCCCTTGCTTACAATTTCCTTCAGAATACTGGATAAGTATGCCTTCATATCTGTCACTTCTAGTGTGCCAGTATTTTAACAGCTAAGGTACTTCTAACTACTGTTTTTATTTTCTTATCATTTTAGCTCAGTGAACATCATTTTATCATTCTTTCACATTTGATTATTCTTTCTCATCAAGAACATGTTAAATGCTACCATGCTAAAATATCTATGTGGAAGATTGACATTAACAAAGAGTACATTCCTATCTTCTAGATCACCCAGGAGTGAAAACTTAAGTACATGTTGCTCATAGTTCAATTTTTTCAATATTTTATTCGCTCTTGTAGCATGTTGCAATGTGGTACTTAGTTTCAATAGGCCATTAGGTTTAGACTGGGGACGCAACCAAACTAACTGATGAAATAGACTTATTAACTGGTATGTTTCTACATTGGATGCAGGATCTTCTTTGAGAGGACTTGGTTCAGTTTTTTGGGATGCAATTGATATGTAAGAAAGATTGACATGTAAGAAAGATTCCGGACTTGTTCTGCTTGATATCTAATCCTATACAGTTAAATAAAGGCAGCACAGGTAGGTTGGTCACTCTTCTATTGTCTTCGTGTCAAGCAAAAAGTAAGGAACACATTTTTTATGTGTCTTTTAGCTGCTAGCCTATAGCAAAATTATGGATTATTAAACTGGACAAATGGATCTCAATGTGCATTGAAAACCAAAATTGGATTCTGCTTGGAGCACAAAGTATTTCAAAAATGCCAACATTTACTTGCAGTGGACTCAATGTTAAAAATAACACTGGGAAATTAATTGTTGCTCCTACTTATAAGTAAGTATCATTGGTAGTAAAAGTAGTAATTTATGGTGGTTCAGTGGTTAACACTGCTGCTTCACAGCACCAGAAACCCAGGTTTGATTCCACCTTTGAGAGTGTGTATAGAGCTTGCATAATCTCCCCATGTCTATGTGGGTTTCTCCCAGATGCTTTGGTTTTCTCCCACAGTCTAAAGATGTGTAGGTTTTGTGGATTGGCCATGTTAAATTTCCCCATAGTTTCCAGGAATGTGCAGATTAGGTGAATTAAATGTGGATTTACCAGGTTAGGGTGAGGGGCTGGGCCTGGGTCGGATGCTCTTTGGCGGGTCGGTGTGGATTCGATGGACCGAATGGCCTCTTTCTGCACCGTTGGGATTCTATGATCTGGATTTTCACCAGACATAAATCCATTCAATTCAAGTTTTGCTCAATTATCATCCACCATGATTGATCGCTGAAAACAATACTCATACTTAAAAGGATTTTTGTCATTTACCATCAAATTGCAGAGCACATTAACACCTTTCTCACATGCAGTGGTACATTGTTTGACTCAGAAATGTCCTACAGAGCATGGCAAGCTGCTTTTTCAGTCTGTCGTGGGAATTTTGCAGATGCCTCAACAGACTTCCTCAAGCAGTTAACAATTCATTTTTAAATCCAGCAATGAAAAGTTGAACTGCTGTGGGCACAGTCTTGATTTTGCCTACATCACTACTTGCTAGTTGTACTGCATTTTTTTGCTAATGCTGAATGTAGACTATAATGTAGCCAGTTCATTGCAATAGAAACTGTGTAAGCCCTGTGCTCATCAAACAAGATGCTAGATCCCATTGATCTGTCTACCATGATTTATTTGTTTGGCATGAAATAATTTTTAAAACTGTCAGTAGAATGGGAAGAATTGAGTGCAGCATTTACAACTGTGAGGAACAGAGAAGTGCTTCTTGCCAATGTATGTGTGAAGCCTGAATGTGGTGCAGCCTTCCAGGAGCTGGGGTGAGACCTATGAGTATTGCAAATCCTTGATGTTGTCAAAATCGTGGCTTGTTTCTGAACTAAAAACCGAGAAAGGAAAGGGATTCACTTTCTACAAAATTTTGAATTGTTTGTTTAACATCCATAAACAAGACCTCAATTAATAAGGCCATAGCTTAGCATTAGAGGAGTAATCAGATGAGGAAAATTTCAGCTGTCTAGCCTGTTGTCTTTCATTCAGGATGACATATTTCTGTAGCTACCAAAATGTTTTTATATACTGTATGCTTTGCACCCCAATAAACCCACTACTTGCTCCCACCTTGGTAGCTCCTCTTAACCTTCACCCCTGTTCCATATCTCTGGATGCAGACTTGAATGCATGTATGTCTTTACACTGAGGCCATCCAGCACCACATGTGTGGTGTTAGCATGTTACATGTGATTGATTCAGGACAGATTTAGCAGCTTAAATGCTATATGTGAGGCACTGTATGCCATCAGCAGGGGCAGAATTGTATTTAACCAAAATCTGTAACCATGTTGTCCCGAGTATCCTGCACTCTTCTATTAATACCAACTCAGGAGACCACTGTTGGTTAAACGAAGACCGTGAAGAAGCATTCTAAGAATAGTACCAAGCATACTTGAAAATGAAATATCAACTGGGTGAAGCTGCAACTTAGAACTAGCACTAGATTAGGGCTAGAACTTGGGATGCTGCTTCTGCTGTTTAATTCTATGTACAGAGGGCTAAGAAGTCCAACGACCCATGGATTCAATCAAAGCTCTGCAATTCTTCCTCATTCTGTCATGAATGGCTGTGAATAATTAAGAAACTAACAGGAGCAGACAACCCTACAGTCACTCAAACCTCAATGATGGTGAATCCTTGTACATCAGTCAAAAGGACAAGGCAGAAACATTTCCAACCACCTTCAGCTGGATGTGTCGAACGGATGATCTACTATTCTGCGGAAGGGTCACCGGATCCGAAATGTTAACTCTAATTTTTTCTTCACAGATGCTGCCAGACCTGCTGAGCTTTTCCTGCAACTTCAGTTTTTGTTGTTGTAGATGATCTACTTGGCTGCCACCTGAGTTCTCCATCATCACAAGTGCCAATCTTCAGCCAATTTGATTCACTCAGTGTGATATCATTGCACACAGCAAAGCCTAAGGGCCCTGGCAACATCTTTATGATACTACTAAAGACTGATGTTTCAAATCTGGCTTCCTCCTGGTCCAGGTCTTCCAATACAGTTACAGTACTGACATTTCCTTGACAAAGTGAAAAATTTCACAAGCTTATAATGTACACGGGACAAATTAATTCCAACCAATACCTCATCATAGAGTCATAGTCGTACAGCATAGAAACAGATCCTTCAGTCCGACCAGTCCATGCTAACCATAATTCTAATCTGAACTGGTCACACCTGCCTCCAAGCATTTCTTATTCATGTACTTATCCAAATGTCTTTTAAATCTACTAAGGACCATGAAAGCATTGTTGATTGTCAGAAAAACCCATCTGGCTCACTAATGTCTTACATGGAAAGAAATCTGCTATCCTCACCTGGTGTGGCTTATGTGTGACTCCAGACCCATAGCAACGTAATTAATCTTAACTGCCCTCAAAAATGGCCTAGCAAGCCACTCAGTTGTATCAATTACTACAAAGCCTCAAGAAAGAAATGAAACCAGATGGACCACCCAGCATTGACCTCGACATCGGAATAGACAATGGCAGAAACATCCCTGTTGACCTTGCAGAGTCCTCCTTACTAACACCTGAGAGATAGTGACAAAACTGGGGGAGCTGTCTCTCAGACTAAACAAGCAACAGCCTGATATTGTCTGTAATGTATGATCCTGTGAGTATGACTATGTCCTAGACGCCACCATCACCGTCCGTGGGTATGTCCTGTCCCACTGGCAGGACAGACCCAGCAGAAGTGGCGGCACAGTGGTATATGTTCAGGAGAGAGTTGCCCTAGGAGGCTGCAACATTGACTCCAGACGCCATGAAGACTCATGACTTCAGGTTAAAAGGGGCAAGGAAACCTCCACATACCATTCTCCCTTGGCTGATGAATCAATACTCCTCCATGCTGAACAGCAAAATATATTCTGGGTGGGAGATTTCAATGTCCATCACCGATTGGCTCAGCAGCAGCACGACTGATCAAGCTGGTCGGGTCCTAAAGGGCATGTTTCCTAGAGTGGGTCTGTAGCAAGAGGTGAGGAAAGAACAAAAACAAATTGCTGGAAAAGTTCAGCAGGTCTGGTACCATCTGTGAAGATGAATCAGAGTTAATGTTTCGGTTCGAGTGATCCTTCCTCAGAACTGGACATTCTTGAGGAACTAAAATTCTGAGGAAGGGTCACTCGACCAGAAAAGTTCACTCTGATTTCTCTCCACAGATGCTGCCTGACCTGCTGAACTTTTCAAGCAATTTCTGATTTACAGCACCAACAGTTCTTTCCGTTTTTAAGATGGAAAAACATATTTGATCTCATCCTTAATAGTCTGCTGGCTGCAGATGCATTTGTCGATGACAGTATTGGTAAAGAGTGACCACTGTACGGTCCTTGTGGAGACAAAGTGCCCCTTTGGCATTGAGTGTTATGCTGCATGATTACCACGCTATATCGGACAAACTTTGAACAGATTTAGCAACTCCAGATTGGGCATATGTGAGGTGCTGTGGG